TATATTTATATAACTTTTATTTTATTTCATTTATTTATTTATTTATTTATTTTTTTTTTTTGATACATTCGGTTGAGTTTAGTGGTTTATCGGTTTTCGTTTCGCGGTTATCGGCGATCGGTAAGAAGCATAGTTTGACGAGCGGTCTTGTTAGCTTTCCGGATTGCGTACGGAGATCGACCACGTGAATATGACCGTCGGAGCCTGGGTAAAGCTTCTCTATGCGGCCCAGCCGCCATTCGGTAGGTGGCAGGCAATCGTCATGAATCAGGACACAATCTCCAACTTTTCGCGCCTTCACTGTATTTTTCCATCGGTACCTCTTGTGGAGGTCCTTTATATAGTCTTCATTCCATCGGCTACTGAAATTATGATGGAGAAGTTTAATTATTTCCCATCTATTTAATAAGGATAGCGACTCCATGCCTGGCTCAGGTGTGGCCAGAAGGGGTGCTGCTTTTAGGAAATGCCCTGGAGTTAGGGCTGTGAAGTCGAAGGGATCTTGCGTGGCGAGTTGAGAACGGCTTCGATTTTAGAAAATAATGTAGTGAATTCTTTATAATTAAATTTTTAGCTGCCAGCCATCTTCTTGAAATGAGTTTCGAAGCTCTTTACAGCTGATTCCCATAAACCACCCATATGAGGAGCGTTTGGGGATACAAATTGCCAATTGATACAATGCCAGTTGATACTTGTTTAAAGAGATACACAAACTGTTTTTCTGTGGCTCGTTGAGCTCCAATGAATGTTTTGCCATTATCGCCCCTGATTTTTGATGAGAAGCCACGTCGAGCGACGAAGCGAGCAAATGTCGCGAAAAAAGATTCTGTCGTCAGATTAGTGCACAGCTCAAGGTGTACTGCCTTTGTCGTKAAACATACAAAGACAACCACATAGCCTTTCATGAGAATGGGAGACCTTAGCATGGACGCCTTTATYYRAAAAGGCCCAGCAAARTCRACACCTSTKGTGGTGAAAGGCAGAGCGAACGATTGCAGCGTTCAGGTGGAAGTGCWGCCATAATCTGCGTTCGCATTTTTTGCTTATGCATAGTGCAGATCTTGCACATGAAAATGCATTTCTTGATTTGGGGCTTCAGACGAGGGATGTAATACTCTTGGCGTACCATATGTTGCATGAGGCGATGTTCGCCGTGTAGCATTAATATGTGGATGTATTTCAGGAATAATATGGCCAATGGAGACTTCTCAGATATGATTATGGGGTGGCGTTCATTGTATGTTAGACTTGAGTTAACAAGCGACCATTGGCATGAAGGAGRCCTTTCGTGTCTAGAAATGGGTTCAGAACTAAGAGTGAGCTCTTTCTGTCAATCGGCTTCGATATTGTTAGTAAAAAAACATGTCGCGGCTGAAGTAGCGCATTTGGGTTGATGCGATAAGAGCGACCTTAGCCTTTTGCAGGTCTTGGTGCGTCAATGTATCGTAGTGGGGGTAACTTGCTCCTTTAACTTTGAGTTTAAGCCACTCTAAGAACTTGAGCATATAGGTGACTATTCTGAGGGCTCGGGGAAACGATGAAAATCGTTCAAGGATGTCAACATCATCCAACAATGTGTGGTAAGTGTCGATTTTTCGACTTTCGGGTACAATTTTGTTGCGCATTGGCGATTGTGGCCAAGAATCGGGAAATTCTGTTAACTACCGGGGGCTATTCCACCATAGGGTGGTGGTGGCGAGATGCAGGGATTTGGACCCTCTTGTACCTAGATCAGCAGGATTATCAGCACTGGCTACGTGTCGCCAAGTGGCTGATCCTACTAGGTCAAGTATTTGCGCCGTTCGATTAGTAATTTAGGTTTTCCACGCGTGTGGTGGCTTTTCTNAGTGGCCGGGAGTTAATGCTGTGAAGTCTGAGTGATCTTGCGAGAGAGATACGAGAGGCCGTGAGTTGAGAACGGCTTAAATTCTGGTTAACAATGTTGTGAATCCTTCATAATTGAATTTATAGTTGCCAGCTAGCTTCTTGAAATGAGGTTTGAAGCTGATTCCCATAAACCGCCCATATGAAGAGCGCTTGGGGGATGAACTGCCAATTGATACCTTGCGGAGCGTATTTTTGGACAATGTCAGGTGAGACTTGTTTCATGAAATCTTCAAACTGTTTTTATGTACTCTTTGAGCTCYGATAAAAGTTTTACCATTATCGCTCATGATTTTTGGTGGAAAGCCGCGTCGTCCGACCAAGCGAGCAAACGCCGCGTGAAAAGTCGTCAGATTAGTACACAGCTCAAGGTGTACTGCTTTTGTCGTGAAATAGACGAAGACAGCCACGTAGCCCTTCATTAGGGTGGGAGATCTTAGCATGGACGCCTTTATCCAAAAAGGCCCAGCAAAGTCAACACCTCTTGTGGTGAARGGCAGAGCGAAATTGCAGCGTTCAGGTGGAAGTGCTGCCGTAATCTGCGTTCGCATTTTTTGCTTATGCATAGTGCAGATCTTGCACATGAAAATGCATTTCTTGATTTGGGGCTTCAGACGAGGGATGAATACTCTTGGCATACCATATATTGCATGAGGCGATGTTCGGCGTGTAACATTAATATGTGGATGTATTTCAGGAATAATTTGGCAAATGGAGACTTCTCAGGTATGATTATGGGGTGGCGCTCGTTGTATGTTAGACTTGAGTTAACAAGCGACCATTGGCATGAAGGAGACCTTTCGTGTCTAGAAATGGGTTCAGAACTAAGAGTGAGCTCTTTCTGTCAATCGGCTTCGATATTGTTAGTAAAAAACATGTCGCGGCTGAAGTAGCGCATTTGGGTTGATGCGATAAGAGCGACCTTAGCCTTTTGCAGGTCTTGGTGCGTCAATGTATCGTAGTGGGGGTAACTTGCTCCTTTAACTTTGAGTTTAAGCCACTCTAAGAACTTGAGCATATAGGTGACTACTCTGAAGGCTCGGGGAAACGACGAAAATCGTTCAAGGATGTCAACATCATCCAACAATGTGTGGTAAGTGTCGATTTTTCGACTTTCGGGTACAATTTTGTTGCGCATTGGCGATTGTGGCCAAGAATCGGGAAATTCTGTTAACTACCGGGGGCTATTCCACCATAGGGTGGTGGTGGCGAGATGCAGGGATTTGGACCCTCTTGTACCTAGATCAGCAGGATTATCAGCACTGGCTACGTGTCGCCAAGTGGCTGATCCTACTAGGTCAAGTATTTGCGCCGTTCGATTAGTAATTTAGGTTTTCCACGCGTGTGGTGGCTTTTCTRATCAAGCTAGAACTATTCCGGAATCAGACCATAGATATTATTTTTCGAATAGAGGGGGGTTAGTGTCCAAAAAATTGTCGTTTGGTATGTTTTTTAAGATATTTGGGTGATTAGCTGTGATCTTTTTTAAGGGAAACCCTGCAGTGTTGAGGGCCGTTATCACTTATGATAAAGACTCGTATGCTTGAGAGAGGCTGTGGCTCCCAGACATATACGTTTGTGTTTTTAAGACTTGTGTTGCCAGAGGAAATTCTGACAATATCTTCTGTGTACGGATGGCAAGGTATGGAGCACAGTTTACGACAAAGGTTACTGTTTTTAATTTAAAGTCGCGTAGTGGACTATTGGCAGATTTTCGGAAAATAATTCGYTGAAAATCTTGATCGTCTTTATGTACGACTATTTGTCGATACATTTTCTCTACRTCCCCATTGAATACGTATTTGTATATACGCCAGTTCAATATGAGGAGCATTAGATCTGGTTGGAGTGTAGGTCCCGTAAATAGACTGTCATTTAGGGAATTCCCCGAGCTAGTGGTTCTTGAGGCATTGAAGACAACTCTGACTTTTGTTGTTGTTTTTTTTTTGTCAGGCTTTACTACTGTATGATGTGGCAAGTAGAATGAGTAATGTTGGCAACCCTTGCCCATATGCATATAATTATGTTAATATTCAATTTCTATGTTTATTTTACAGTTGAATGTTTCATTTTCATCTCTCTTTAAATTGTCACGAACTTCATATTATATACATTATTCCAAATGTAAAGCTGCTGCTTACTTGTTTATGCAATTTGTATATTTGTTATTTCCCCTTCTTCGCATAAGCATAAGCAGGTAGGCGCAAGCTCCAATTAGTTATCTGGGCTTATATACTTGTTGTTTGTAAGCTGCAGTATGTGTTCCCCCTATCCTAGCTGTGCTGATCTGCACGGTATATGCGAGTGCGCTTGTGCATATATGCCACTGCACAACGTGTTTGAACTTATTCATCGATCAGCCAGGAAAGTGGAAGGACATACTGCGGTAAGTAGTAATCAATAATGTAATAATTTATATATGCCTATTGCCTTACATATGTTATTTAGAAATAAACCATTTGGAACCATTTAAACATTGCTCCATTTGGAGCTACTTTGGAAACCAAACCAAATGCGTTAAACTCGCCCCACTTGATCGATGACATATCTTTATTTCGCATTCCAATTGTTTGCCTATTTGGTTTGTGAAATTTTAAGATTCGATGGGTAAATTACYTCGCCGCCAGACTTCAGTGAATTTGCCAAATATGGACAGCGGTGCTTCTACGTCATCAGCATCAAAACCCAGCCAGGGTAGCAGTGCATCAGCCACCGTCAATATAGCCAGTGATTTACCAGCCGCCCCTACAGCTACTGGAGCCACCACTCGATCATCATCAGCCGCTGCCATTGCGCGTCAGGAAAACGTTATTGCGGCTCTCCAAAAACGAATAGCAATGCTTGAGATCAGTTTATCGGCTTCTCAACCCCATTCACGTGGTGAAACGCTCAACATGGGTACATCCAACAATAATGTTGCCGCCGAACTTCCGTCGACGATGGCAACACAATTGCCAGAATCGCAGCAGCCAGCTATTGCCAACTGCACAGTACCGTTTTCGTAACCTACCGATATCCGTTACACGCCGCCGTTACTTGCAGCAAATACCGTTGCTACAAACCACATGTACAGTTCATCTATTTTTACGCCTTCGATCCGTTCTAACTCGACAACAATGCCTACATTTGTTAATACAAGTGCTACATCTACACCGATAGTGCTACAATTGCCCGATTTTTGTGGAAAGCCGGAAGATTGGCCAATATTTTATACGGCTTACATAGAGTCAACGGCAATTTATGGATACAGCAGCTATGAGAATAATCAACGTTTATTAAAGTGCCTGAAAGGTTACGCACGTGAAGCGGTCAAGTCATTGCTAATCCACCCGGACAATGTCGGTAATATAATTGATTTATTAAAGTTTAGATTTGCTGTGTCAAGTGAAAGAAATCGCACCTATTTCGGAAAATGCCATGATGAAAWTAATACCATTTGCAACGAAGGTGTGTAATATTTGTGTATTTTTACAATCTGCTCATGGTGGTGAATTGCATTTGTCAAATCCTACATTACTCGACGAACTTGTCTCAAAATTGCCTTTGAGCAAACGTGTCGAATGGGCCAGCTTTGCAGCTCTTATGCAGCCACATGCAACAATAAAACATTTTAGTGATTGGCTATCAAAATTAGCTAATATAATTTGTACGGTTTGTGAAGACCCTTACAAGGATTCGAAGTGCCGCATGGTTTTACATACAATTGAGCCACGCCGATCAGTGAGATGTCCAATTTGTCAGGAGCAACACAATGTAGCAGGGKGTGCGCGTTTTGTAGAATATTCAGTGCCGAGAAGATGGGCAGAGGTGAAACGACGTCGTTTGTGTTTTGCTTGTCTCAATTTAGGCCACTGTACAAGGAATTGTCATCGACGCAGGTTATGCTCCATTGATGATTGCCGGAGAGTGCATCATAAACTCTTACATGAAGTCACGGAGAACGTTTCCAATTCGTCAGGACAGTCAACTCCTACTTTCTCCGCTATGAATRTACAAGGTAATCGTAAGCCTACATCACCAAGTCGTTCACTCAACAGCCAACAGACATCACTGGAAGCAAGATCAGCAGTTCTGAGTTGCAGTTCCACTGAAAGCAAGCTCCTCTTCCGTATTTTACCAGTTACCGTATACGGAAATCACAGACGTGTTGATACATACGCACTGCTGGACGAAGGTTCATCCATCACGATRATTGACCGTGCCCTTGTTCGGGACTTGGGAATGCATGGAAGTAAGCAATCTTTAAATGTACAGTGGTTTGGAGGACGTGTAGCGCAAGAATCAACGTTTGTAGTGGACTTATTCATCAGTGGCGCCGGTATGCAGAAACAACACAAACTCCGTAACGTGCATGCTGTGTCGAACCTACAGCTTCCTGTACAGAGTTTAAGCAGAGCCGATTTGGATCATGAGTATAGACACGTAAGCCAACCGGTACAACCTTACGCCCAAGTCAGGCCCAAGCTGTTAATTGGCCTTGACCACTGCCATTTGGGATTACCATCGACGACTGTGAGGGTCAAGGAGCACGGACCATTCGTTGCTAATACAGAGTTGGGTTGGGTTGTATTCGGCCCAACATCTTCTACACAACCATCYCCAGTAGCGTGTTTATGCGTGAATAATCAAGCTGATCAGACACTTCACAATATGGTATCTAACTTTTTTGAAATTGAGAGTTTTGGTGTTAGAGCTGCACCGCCCATAGAGAGTGAGGAGGACATCCGTGCCAGAGATATCTTGAAATCTACCACATGCCGCGTAGACGGACGTTTTAAAACGGGTCTTATATGGAAAAGTGACAAAGTTAATTTACCTGATAGCTACAATATGGCGTTGAAACGATTAATCAGTGTAGAGCGAAGGATGAGTCGTGATGCAGATTTTGCCGCCGAATACAAGAACATCATGGACTCTTACGTCACAAAGAAGTACGCACGAAAACTGCCGCCAGCAGAAGCTGCTGTGTATACACCTASAACTTGGTATTTACCACACTTTGCGGTTGCTAATCCCAACAAACCCGGAAAACTACGTATGGTTTTCGACGCCGCTGCTCAGGTAGGTGGAATTTCCCTCAATTCACAGCTCTTGAAGGGTCCACAAGAATATCGCCCATTGCCGTCGATATTGTCTCGTTTTCGTGAGGGCGCAGTTGCCGTATGTGGAGACATCAAAGAGATGTCCCATCAAGTCCTTATACGAGAAGATGACAGATGTGCACAGAGGTTCCTCTGGCGTGATGGTGAGGCTACGCAACCACCGGATATTTACGAAATGTGTGTGATGACGTTTGGTGCTGCTTGTTCACCATGTGCTGCAAATTATGTAAATATATATTGCCCGTGCAATAAAAGCAATATTGGATCACCATTATGTCGATGACTTCGTTGATAGCTTCGGTTCAGAAGAGGAAGCCATTTCCGTGTCAGAACAGGTCCGAGCGATTCATACGGATGCTGGGTTTGAGCTTCGCAATTTTACATCCAATTCTTCGAAGGTGTTAGCCGCGCTTGGTGGTACTGACGTTACACGATCGATTGGTAAGAGAGAAGGTTTCGTTGGTGAGAAGGTAATGGGCTTGTTTTGGCAGCCATCATCAGATTGTTTCGGCTTCAAACTGAAATTTCCAGAGACGCCCTACTAAAAGAGAACTTCTAAGTATCGTCATGTCGATATTTGACCCTCTAGGGTTTCTGAGCAATTTCGTCATTGGGGCCAAGTTACTTATGCGTGAGCTTTGGAAACACAATATCCATTGGAACGGCCCATTACCAAACGACGTAAATTCTGCTTGGGCGAAGTGGCGTAAACAACTACCCGAGATTGTCAAATATGCCATGCCTCGTTACTATTTCAGAAATGGGGCACCTCAAGTACTTCAGCTTCACATATTTGTTGACGCTAGTGAAGATGCCTTCGCCGCCGTTGCTTATATTCGATATCAATCTTTATCTGGTGAATTTAATGTTGCATTCATTTGTGCCAAGACAAAATGTGCGCCATTGAAAACTCTTACCGTGCCACGCCACGAACTTCAGGCAGCGGTTTTGGGCACTCGCCTCATGCAGTGTATCCGCGACGAACATTCTCTAAACATCAAAGATTGTATTCTGTGGAGTGACTCAAAAACGGTCATCAAATGGATACAGAGTGAACATCGTCGATACAAGCCTTTCGTTCAGCATAGGATAGCCGAGATATTGGCTTCAACAAGCATATCAAATTGGAGGTGGATACCCACTAAGCACAATGTAGCCGATGAAGCCACGCGAACAAATGATTGCACCAATTTTAATCCAACAGCACGTTGGTCACGGGGGCCCCCGTTCTTACGACAGGACGAACAAGCTTGGCCTTCAGAAGTCGTAACAGTTTCTGGACCTGATGAACCTGATGAAGAGATTCGATCCAAATTTGCTTTAGTCATCGTGAGTTGTAATTTTATAGATTTTAAAAGATTTTCTTCCTTTCCCAGATTGGTGAGAACCGTTGCTTGGGTCTTACGCTTTGTCGACCATTGCCGTTGTCGTATACAGCCAAATCAATGTTATGGTTTAGCAGCCCAAGAAGTAGACAATGCTAAACGCCTTTTATGCCGCATAGTACAACGCGAAGTGTATGCAGCCGAGTTCCTGTCCATTGGAAATGGTCACGACATTCCCCACGACAGTACACTGTTACAACTCTCACCATATATAGACGAAAAAGGTGTTTTTCGAGTACAGGGACGCATCGACGSCGCCAGCTGGCTTCCAATCAGCACACGAAGTCCTATTATTCTACCGCCTGATCATGCCTTTACAAAATTATTGGTATTGCATCACCATAGCGCCATGTGCCACCAAAACATAGAAGCTACTATTGGTGACATCCGCCGTAATTATTGGGTGCCACGACTAAGAAGTGTGTTGCGCAACGTCATTGCTAGTTGCAATGTATGCCGCTTGAGTAAAGCTACCCCGTCAGTGCCTTGGATGGGACCGCTTCCGTCGGACAGACTTACTCCTTACGTACGGCCGTTTAGCTACACTGGCCTGGATTACTTTGGCCCAGTCACTGTGACAGTTCGACGCAGTACCGAGAAAAGATGGGTTGCGCTCTTTACATGCCTTACAGTGAGAGCTGTACACCTAGAACTGCCTCACGATTTGAGTACTGATTCCTGTATTATTGCCTTACGTAATTTTGTGAATAGACGTGGTGCGCCCATAAGAATTAGGTCTGACAATGGAAAGAATTTCGTTGGCGCCGACCGGGAAGCAAAGCGATTCGAAAAAGTGTTCGACTGCGGTCGCTTACAAAGTGAATTATCACAGAAAAACGTCCAGTGGGTGTTTAATTCCCCATTTAACCCTTCAGAAGGTGGCGCATGGGAGAGAATGGTACAGTGCGTCAAGCGAGTTCTACGTCACACTTTAAAGGAAGTTACACCAAGAAAGCATACTCTGATAAGTTTCCTGATTGAAGCTGAGAACGTCGTTAACTCTCGTCCACTGACGCATCTGCCTATCACTGCCGATCAAGAACAGYCTCTGACCCCTAACGATTTCATTCTGGGAGCAGACAACACGCCCCAGACTCCTATAGCAGACACTGACTTGGGAAATACTTGTATGCTACGCAAGCAGTGGCGCATCGCGCGTCAATTGAGGGATCATTTTTGGAAGAGGTGGATTACTGAGTATCTACCTACATTGACTCGCCGTGTCAAATGGTGCCGTARAACGAAGCCATTGGAAGAAGGAGAGTTGGTGTTTATATGCGATCCTAACGTTCCACGACAAGAATGGTGCCGCGGTAGAGTGGAAAAAGTATACCCTGGAACTGATGGCGAAGTACGACGAGCAGACGTACGAACTTCGACAGGAATTAAGCAACGAGCAGTCTCAAAGCTAGCCGTTCCGGACATTGCTGGTGGTGAATCAGGTTGATTCACGGGGGTGGGGATGTTGGCAACCCTTGCCCATATGCATATAATTATGTTAATATTCAATTTCTATGTTTATTTTACAGTTGAATGTTTCATTTTCATCTCTCTTTAAATTGTCACGAACTTCATATTATATACATTATTCCAACTGTAAAGCTGCTGCTTACTTGTTTATGCAATTTGTATATTTGTTATTTCCCCTTCTTCGCATAAGCATAAGCAGGTAGGCGCAAGCTCCAATTAGTTATCTGGGCTTATATACTTGTTGTTTGTAAGCTGCAGTATGTGTTCCCCCTATCCTAGCTGTGCTGATCTGCACGGTATATGCGAGTGCCCTTGTGCATATATGCCACTGCACAACGTGTTTGAACTTATTCATCGATCAGCCAGGAAAGTGGAAGGACATACTGCGGTAAGTAGTAATCAATAATGTAATAATTTATATATGCCTATTGCCTTACATATGTTATTTAGAAATAAACCATTTGGAACCATTTAAACATTGCTCCATTTGAAGCTACTTTGGAAACCAAACCAAATGCGTTAAACTCGCCCCACTTGATCGATGACAAGTAATAATGCGAGTATGTTTGGAAGTTGTTGTTTTAGTGGTAGTCGTACGACATACCGACCATTATCTGATCGAGTAGTTGTGGCTTTGTAAAAGTCTTCACAATACTGATCTTCCGGTGTTGTAATTGAAATAGGGGGGAATTCTTCTAACTCCCAAAATTTTCTCAATTGTGAATTGAGGTACTCGTTTGTGATTTCCTCAACTTGAGTTGTCATTGCTGTGACTGGTTCCGCAACTAGTCCACTTAGGACCCATCCGAAAAAGGTGTTTTGCGCCAGTAGTGTTTCCGAAATTTTTTCAACACCTTCTAATATGATTTGCGGTATAAGGTCGCTGCCTATTAGGATGTCTATTTGAGCTGTCGTGTTGCAGTTGGGATCTGCTATAGTCAGGTGTGAGATTTTATCCCAATGCTTACAATTTATTTCATAGCTTGGAAGGATGTTTGTTAGTTGCGGTAAGACAATAGCATTTGCTTGAATGCGCTTATCCGCTTGGGCGGTAATTAGGGTAATGGGGCAGATTTTACTTGAGTTTTGTACTACTCGTCCGCCCATTCCCTTAACTTCATAGTTGGCATGCTTTGTTGGCACTTTTAGCCTATTTTGTGCCCTAGACGTAATGAATGATCGTTTCGATCCCTTGTCTATTAGGGCTCTTAGTTTGGACAGTTCTCCTCGACGTTCAATGGAGACAGCTGCTGTGGATAGTAGTAATCTACTATGATTTTCGCTGTGAAGCGTTTGAGTTTTTAATGCCTTTGAACAACATGGTGTCTCTTGGCAATTTTCTTGAGTTTTTGTTTCGGGAGTTGCTATGAGATGTGTTGGGAAAGTTATTAAGATGTAACATAGAATGATGCCTTTTGTGGCAATATACACAATTAAATTTTTTTTCGCAAGTATTAAGGTTGTGTGAGTGGGACAAGCAGTTTGTACAGAGTTTTTTTGACCTGACAAAGTTGTTCCTTTCATTGACATTCAATTTTTTTAAATTTCTGGCAAGTTTTTAACTTAAGACCTCCAGTACATAGATCRCATGACGTGAATTTATTTTGTTCAGATGTGAACGATTGTGCTTTGAAAAAGCTTCTGTTTAAATGATTGTTGCTTCCGACTTGGGGTCTATTGAAGCTTCGATTTAGGTCTTGTTGAACGTTTTTAGTTCTGACTACTTTTTTGTCTACCCTTTCCGAAATTTCATATTGGGTAGTTAAGCAATCTTTCATCTGCTGCCACGATGGGCATTTTCATTTTCTTCTTGAGGAGAGCGATTGCTCCCACAAAAGTAAAGATTTTTCTGGTAATGCGGCGGTACATACTTATGTTTACCAGAATAGGATCCCAATTGTTAGTGGGAATATTTTGTGTCGATAGAACCGACAAACAATTTGACATAGTGGATTCCAATTTGATGAATTCTCTTTGAATTTAGGCAAGTTCATAAGTATCGTTACTTGCTTGTCAACTAATATTCTCTCATTTTCATATACTTGTCTGAAAGCTGCCCAAGCTAAATTAAAAGCATCGTCATTACAATTTTTGCGCTTGTGATAATTTTGGATGGTTTATGTTCACGGCTGTAAATATGTCCCGGAAGGACGGCCATTGTTCATAACTTCCGCGAAATATTKCTGTATTGCATGCTGCTACTTTGAGGTGAATGCCTGAACTAGCCTCTTGGCTTTGAATTTGTTGCAGATCTACTCTCGGTTGTGGAGTAGGTTCAATTGCTTTAAATAATGTCAATTGATCGGAGATCATAGCTCTCGTTTCCTCGTACTGGTCTAACCAGTTTTCAGCAAGCCGGAGATCTAAAATTTTCCGGTAGATCTGATTCGTCAGATTCTAAAATTGCGTCATACGCATCTTGGAGAGGTGTTCAGAAATTGCTTAAATTTTTTTTTTTTATTTCTAATACCGATTCAGAATTGTCTTGAATCGGTGAAGATGAAAATCGAGTGCAGTATCGAATTAGACTGTCACTTTCAGCAATAAATTTAGTAAATGAAATATCTTTATATTTTTTTTCTTTGTAGCGCCTTGCTTTGAGCGTGTAGCTTCAGCAGGTGTATATGGGCTCTTTTCTTCAGAGATCATTTTTTGTACTTTCAGATATTGAATCGATTTAGATTCYTTAGAATCTCCGTTCATTTAGATAATAGGTAAAAATTGAAAATATGAGAAAGAAAAACTTCGCTCAGCATATTTCTGGTAGCTATAATACAATACGTTTGAATCTTTAAGATAAGCGATTTAGATGTTTGTTGTAAACGTATCGAATAACGAACGCGTATTTCGTTTTCCTTATTATCTTGTATTTTTGTTGTATACGCAATGTACGAACTACCGCAGGAGTGTTTAGTTTTCTTTATTTATTGCTTCGTATTCCTAATAGTTGTGCTATTATGTGTGGAACACAATGCTAGCGACAGACTGCAGCAGCACGACAGTGAACTGAAAATGGGGTTGTGAATTATACTACAAGAACGTTTGTGAGAGGGCAGCAACATAACAATGGCCGACATGTACACAAAACAACTCAGTTGTCCATTTTGCATGTACACAATTTCGTTGTGGTAATACTAATGCCTTGCACTTCAATTAAATTTTAATATTTTGTTCAATATAATATATAAATATTTGTTTGAAATTTTTAAGCAAAAAATAAGTAAATAGGTAAATTTATTTGTTTTAAATTATCAATTGTTATTATAAATGATGTAACAGAGCTATT